ATCACCTGAAACGAGTGAGAGGGGAGATCTCAGAGAAAAATCCAGGGAAGTCATTCCTTAAGTTCTAACTTTGTGCCCAGCCCTCTGCTGGGTGCTTCCTATACCTCCTCCTACTCAAACACACACCCACCTTATCAGCTGGGTGTCAGCTTCCCCATTTTTCAGACCCAAAACCTAGGACTCAGGTAGGTTAAGTGGTCTTCCCAAGGTCACCTGCTGGTGAGTAGGGACACAGGAAAATTACCTCAAGTCTCACTGACTCCATTGTCCCGTTATACCCCCAATATGGTACATTGTCGACAATGGTATACAGAAAAGCCAGACTGTATATGTGCAGCTGGGATATTTTTACACTGTCATATTGCCTCTTGAGCTGTCTGTGCTACCGTGAGGACAGCAAACATGTTTACTAGACCCAAGCCTCATCATCAAGACATTACATGGCAAATGATGACAAAGTTAGTGATACATGACTGAGAAATCATGATTCTCATCTGTGCTCTCATCTGTGACCAGGGTAGTTACTTATTCATTCATTTTATTATCTCTCTGCTTGTTCCAGATGTCACAAGAAGGTGGCCTGAGGGCCAAATTTGATTTGCAGACAAGTTTTATTTGAACACTCCCCCTCAATCCTGCACTGTGTTTGAAATGTTTTTAGTTGCCAACATTTAAAAAATTGAGTTTTCACATCTAAGAAAATTAATTTTCTGCTTTCCTTGAAAATTCAGCAGATTTGGCAACATTAGGTCTCAGTTCCCACATGGCAAAGGGAAGCAGTAGGTGCATGCACTTTTCAACAGAGTTTGGCTCTGTTTCATCACAGGGCCAACCCAGCCCACTTTGCTCATTTATAGCTCCTTCCTGCATATCCCCTGTGCTCTGTAGAGTATTTATACTCCACTTTTGGAAAAAAATGTGTGGAGGTGGTTCTGAGACTGAGGCAAGATAAACAAGTTTCTTCACAATTCAGAATGTCAGTGTATCCAACAGGACCAAGAAATTTTGTTTTTGTTTTTCCTACTAAGGAAGATTCACCCTGAGCTAACATGCATGTCAATCTTCCTCTATCTTTTAGTATGTGGGCTGCCAGCACTGTATGGCCACTAACAGAGTGGTGTAGGTCCTCTCCTGGGAACTGAACCCAGGCCGTGGAAGCAAAGCACACTGAACTTAACCACTAGGCCACTGGGGCAACCCCCCAAGAAATTATTTTGACTCCTTTCTTTTTAGGACATTCTGAGAAACCATGAACCTTAGGAATTGGGACGAAAGGTGAAACCTCTTGCCCCTACTCTGTAACCTGAATAACATCATACAGCCCTTACTTGAATACCTCAGGGAAACCTGGTTTTTGTTGAACAGTTACAATTCTTAGGAAATTTTTCATTAAATTGAGTCCAAATATGGGCCCCGCAAATATGGCTATAAAATCTGCCATCTGTTGGTTCCACCTTCTGTTCATTCCTTGGGGAAACTCTACACCTGAAAACTCATCAAATATTTGGGGACCACTCTCCTATCTCCTCTAAGCCTTAAGTAGCTGATGTTTCCTACGAGAAGCCGCTGTCTTTTCCACGGTGGGATGTACATGTTTTCAAAACTGTGCGACATGGGAAGCGATGTAGAATTCTATCACAAGGGATGGATGACGCCTAAAGAGCTTCTCTTTTTCTACTATTGTATCTTAAGAACATGAAAGTTTTGACAATGAAAGATAATCTTCCAAGCTCACAGAACTGCGTTCCCTGCGGAGTTTGTGCGCTAGGATGCCTTACCAGGCAGAAACTGTCCTAACCTCTGAACTCCATAAATGTTCCATAAGTCTTCAATTTCACAGCCTGTTTAGGATATTTCAGCCTTGTTGATAACTATATGTTCACAGAACACAAACTCATTTCAAAATTAATCAAAGATGACAAATTCTAAATTGTCTCTAACTTTCCAGAAATGAATTCCAAGAGCATATGCGTTTGTGCTAAATATCTATTTGTGATAGTCATACCCAAACAACTATTACCACGTTATGATACTTGCCAGACAAACTAAGAGCACAAAAAGCATCCCAGGTCAGGTTAGGACAGGTGAAAATGTCTATGGGCAGGAGGTGCAGGTTAGAGAGGCTAGAGGGGCAAGGAGATAGCTCCTCTTCTTTCATGCATGTAATTTCACATATGATAAATATGAGTCTTGTTTTTCATACAGAGTTACTATTTATGTACCCTTTAGGAAGTTAAAAATCTATGGAAAAAAAGGTAGTGATCCTTTCAAAGAAAACTTGTGCACAATAGAAATCAGTGTTAGAACAATTCGTGAGAGCTCTAATTATATAAAAATTTCAGGATTTTGATGAAAGGAGAAGAGTTTAGAATCAATTAATAAAAGCTTCTTTCTACTTAGGAAGAAAACATCAGAGGGAAGTCTCTCTGGTAAAAGTTGAGTGACCATATCTTTCCTTTTCAATAAGATTGTCTTCTGAGTATTGCTCAAAATAAATCTCAAAGGCAATTTAA